TTTACAGGACTGCAAGATGTCTGCTATGACCTTCGATAAAAAGGTGCGGCCATGGTCTCTAAGCAGCTGCCATGGGGCTCCGTGTTGCAAAATCACGTCCTTGAGGAGGAAGTCGGCGACATCTGTGGCGCAGCTTGTTGGGAGAGCTCGTGTGATGGCATAACGCGTGGCGTAGTCGGTGGCCACGGCTATCCACTTGTTACCCGTGGAAGACAAGGAGAAAGGTCCAAGCCCACGCGGAAGAACAGTTCTCACAGAATATCAAGTGGTTGAAGGCGTCCGGCGGGAAGTGTCGATGGTGTTTTGCGGCGCTGACATTTCTCACAAGCCGCAACGTATCTTCTGACTGAGCGTGCAAGCCCTGGCCAAAAGAAGCGTCGGCGTGTTCGGTCATAAGTGCGTGACACACCAAGGTGACCAGCAGTCGGAAGGTCATGAAGTTCATGTAGAACTTCCGAGCGAAAGTGTTTCGGAATGACAAGCAGCAGAGCCGGTCAATCCGGCTCAAAACTTTGGTGGTGTAATACACCATCGTGGAGTACGAATGAGCGATGGGACTGACTGGAATATGGTGAGTCGAGGCGCTCAATGATAGCACGCAAGGACGCATAATGGCACTGCTCATCACCGATGCATGTCATTTGCGAAAGGGAAAAGACGCAAGGCTCGGTGTCGGTGTCAGGCATAGATTTGATTGATTGATATGTGGGGTTTAACGTCTCAAAACCACCATTTGATTATGAGAGACGCCGTCGTGGAGGGCTTCGGAAATTTCGACCACCTGAGGTTCTTTAACGTGCACCCAAATCTGAGCACACGGGCCTACAACATTTCTGCCTCCATCGGAAATGCAGCCGCCGCAGCCGGGATTTGAACCCGCGACCTGCGGGTCAGCAGCCGAGTACCTTAGCCACTAGACCACCGCGGCGGGGCAGGTGTCAGGCATAGTGCTCGACTCAGCGACCGGGAAGCGGGACAGCCAGTCTGCGTCTTCATGTAGGCGTCCGGACTTGTACGTCATCGTGTAGGTATACTCTTGTAGTCGCAGAGCCCAGCGCCCGAGCCGGCCAGTAGGATCCTTCAGTGACGTAGGCACACATAGCGCTTGATGGTTAGTTATCACTGAGAAATTAGTGTCATATAATAATGAGCGGAACTTTGAGACTGCCAAAACAAGAGCAAGACATTCACGCTCCGAAATAAAATAGTTGCACTCAGCAGCTGTGAGGAGGCGGCTAGCGTCGGCGACAACTCGGTCATGTCCCTGTTGGCATTGTGCTAACACGGCTCCAATTGCGTGACCACTAGCTCCGGTTCGAACTTCCGTCGGAGTGAATGGGTCAAAGTGAGCCAATATGGGTGAAGTCGTCAGTAGCGTGATTAGGTGAGAAAAAGCAGCAGCTTGGTTGGTAACCCACGTAAATGTGACGTCTTTCTTCCAAAGCTCTGTGAGGGGTTTAGCGATGGTTGCGAAGTCTTTCACAAACCTAATATAGGAGCAAAGTCCTACAAAACTCCGGACGTCTTCGGCTGACTGGGGTACAGGAAAACTAGTGACTGCACGAATTTTCTCAGGGTCCGGCTGCACACCAGAGGCGTCGACAAGGTGGCCCAACACTAATTTGCCGGCGTTTGAAGCGGCACTTCGATGAGTTCAATTGGATGCCTGCAGTGCGGAATATGTCGAGAATAGCTGAAATAGCTGCCAAACGCTGAAGGTTGGGTCTCAAATGTTGGGGAATATACAACGACATTATCAAGATAACAATGACATGTTGAACATTTGAACCCTTGTAGCATAGAGTACATCAAGCGCTCGAATGTGGCTGGGGCGTTGCATAGCCCAAATGGCATAACCTTGGACTGATATAGGCCGTCTAGAGTTACAATGCAGTCTTCTCTTGGTCTTTTTCGTCGCCAACAATCTGCCAGCAGCCGTAACGTAGGTCTATTGTAGAAAAATATCGGGCGCTGTGGAGATAATCGAGAGCGCCATCGATGCGGCGTGAAGGATAAACGTCCTTTTTCGTTATTCTATTTAGAAGACTGTAATCCACACAGAAGCGCCACATGCCATCTTTCTTTTTAACGAGCACAATGGGGGACGCCCAAAGGCCCGAAGAGGCTTCAAAACTTCCTTTGGCTAACATTTTGGTGACTTCTCGTTGAATTACTTTACGCTCGGTGACAGGCACCCGGTATGGTCGCCGATGAATGGGATGAGAATCAATTGTGTTAATGCGGTGCTTGACGAGTGAAGTCTGGCCAAGTAGACGGCTGTCGAAGTCTTGTATGACACGGTATGAAGCCAGAAGGCGGCATAGCGTGGTTGACTTGTCAGGTTTGAGGTCCGCGGCGATCGTGGAGCGTAAGGTCGCATCGAGGCTCGTGGCATCCTGCGATTGGTGTGGGTGCTCGGGACATACGTCTGCCGTAAAACAGGTGACGTGGTCGTTAATTAAGGGCATTAGCGTGGTGACCAAAATTCCTTGGGGTAGCACTTGTTTTATAAAACCGAAATCGATAACAGGTAAATATGTTCGGTTAGAGGCCATGCTTACGACGGAGTGTGGGACAGTAATGTCACGCGCCAGGAGAACATCAGTAATCGGCGTCACGATATAATCACCGTCGAGCACGAGAGAAGGTGTTGCCAATTCGACGAATGTGAGAGCTTTAGGCGGTATCCGGAAGAAGTCAGTGGTGCATAGGCTGTTCGGAGCTCAGGGTGAGAATCCGGGAGAAGAGGAAGTTCTAGGCAGAGAGTACCGGCGGCACAATCTATCAGGGCAGAATGCGTCGATAGGAAGTCCATGGAGAAGATTAGGTCGTGCGGGCAATTTTCAAGCACCGTAAATAAAACGGGGACATGACGGCTGGCAATACTAACACGAGCGGTACACATTCCAGTGATGGTCACAGCTCCACCATCAGCGACACGGAGGGCTTTAGTTGCTGCAGGCGTGAGGACTTTTTTGAGCAGGCGACACAGATGAGCACTCAATATGGACACTTGACCTCCGGTATCGACTACCACCGTCAAAGAAATGCCGTCCACATACACCTCAATTAAGTTCATATCCGTGGAGAGCGTCAACGGAGGATTTAGATCAGTCGCAAGTGATGCAGTACTACCTCGCGGAGCTTCATGATCTAGTTTTCCGTCCAAGATTTCCGTAGTTGTCCAGCGACGGATAGCGGCGTGGTTGGGGCGATGCTGATCGGTGGCGTTGAGATGACGGCGAACGAGCAGTCGAGTGGCTGTTAGGGACGTCGGAGGAAGGGTACACACGACTGAGCGAATACCGACGGGAGTCCTCGTATGGTCGAGTAGAGGAAAATGGGCTCCAGTTTGAGAGCGTCCAAGTGCTGCGGCAGTAGCGGGACTTATGGCCAACTTGGTGGCAGCGGAAGCAGATCGACTTGTCATCTGCAGTTCTTCGTTCCGCCAGATTGCGGGATCACGGAATAAAATGTAAGTCATGGCGTGGTGCATTTGTTGTCATTGGTCTGGAGACGGATCGGGAGACAGAGTAGGCCACAAGAAACCGAGCTTTGCGATTTCCTGCCTCAATTGATTGATATGTGGGGTTTAACGTCTCAAAACTGCTATATGATTATGAGAGACGCCGTAGTGGAGGACTCCGGAAATTTAGACCACCTGGGGTTCTTTAACGTGCACCCAAATCTGAGCACACGGGCCTACAAAATTTCGTGCCTCAAGACGGCTTCCTGCCTCAAGACGGGTTGAATAACGAAGACCGTCGGAAGCGTTTGTGCGGCGCCATGGTCGAGCAGATGTGGAGGAAATGGTGCCGGACTTGACGCCTCAAGCTCCCGTCGAACTATTCGTGTCACGCTGTCCTGCATGGGTGGTGCGGCACCGAGATCGTTGCAGGTGGATGTAACAGCAGTGTTTGGTAGCCGCGTAAATTTAGGCAGAACACGGCGGCTTTTGGCAATTTCGAAACGGCGGCATTCCTTGGTAGTCATATCTACGGTCGTGACGTTACTGTAGACGAGCAAATTGAAGGCGTCGTCCGCGATACCCTTTAGTATGTGGCCCACCTTGTCACTCTGTCATTGGCTCGTCGACTTTTCAGCTCAACGCGAGCACGTCCTGTATGTACGAGACATACGACTCTGTTGAGGACTGCACACGAGTGGCGAGTTCTTTTCGCGCTTCCATTTAGTGACCGGATGGGTACTCAAAAATGTCACGTAGTCGCTCCTTGAAGGTATCCCAGCTGGTGAGCTCGGTCTCACAGGCGTCGAACCAGATCCGTGGAGTGCCGTCCAAGTAAAATATGACATTGGCGAGCGTCAAGGTAGGGTCCCATCGGTGTGTCTGGCTAACACGCTCGTACATACGGAGCCAGTAGTCGACATGAAGCCCAGGTTGTGCGGAGAATGAACCGGGATCACGGGGGGTGGGCATCGTCAGGTATCTATTGGCTGGTTCTACAGATGGAGACGCTGACGGGCTGTTGTCATTGGTAGCCATGGCCAGAGACTGAATAGTGCGGCCACTGCGAAGCTTCGTGGTGAAGACGGGGAACGTTCTACCTCCACCAAATGTCTTACGTAAAAGAAGAGACGCCGTAACGACGAGGCAGGGGATTAGATATATTTAAAACCAGCGGTAATGGCGTAACCGGTTCACCAGCGATCGAGCGGACACAACTCTTCGTCTTCCTCGTCAGGCATACACGAGCGTCGCCCCCTAGAATATCAATATACATGCATGTAGCAATATGAAGTAAGCCTAGCAGAACAAAGCATTGCGTTAGTTGTTATCCCCTGAGGAGGATTTACAGCAGTGCAAATAAGCGTTAAGGACACAAAGATAGCAAACTGAGAAATTTTTTAAAGTATTTTATATTGGGAGTATGCTTAACCTGCACGTTATCCGTCTTCTGCGAGACACCAATTGCCTTACAGTACATCCCTACTACTTGTATTTCCAGTGTGCTATATGTGATTAGGCATTATTAGGTCACCTTTGTGACGTGACAGAAGACTCCAATGTGGAGATTTTCACGGTACAAAACAGGATCCAAGAAGGCACGGCGTGTGCTCTGGCGACGACCATTCTGGATGGTGCCCTGTGGAATCATGAAGCCTGCGAGAAGTAAGAACGAAAAGAGGGGCCACTACTGAATTCTGCCTAGGAGGCCCAACAGGACTTAGAAGAATAAATGCATTATGAAAACTTATAGTAGGTATTTGGAAAGGTAACGACGCACGTGGATGGAGACATAGGAATACAAATCACACAGCGCTTTTTTAAATACGAAACTGTTTTATGCCGTGGTCCACCGAGATTTCAGTGCCGTAAGTTCGTCAAGAAAATGACGTCTAAAAATTACTTTCAGAAGGCGAAAAAAAAAGTTCTGTCTAACACATGACCTATTGATTGGCGACAACAGCGGCTGGGCACTCTATCCACTGTGCTACGAGCATATACCGTGTCCGCTGTCAAAACACGTTTTTTGCACCTACCACTGCCCTCTCACAGCTCTATTGGTAAAGTAATAATGCATCATGCCCGTGCGATCCCCGATTACTTCCTTCAATGCGTCGTTTCTACGCGTCCGCCCTATTCGATGCCGCTTCAATTGAAGTGCCATTTTGTCAACGCTTTAACAAACTGACAGGTGGCGACCTTACACAAAACGTCGTCGTGGCTCATAGCATCCACCCATCTATTGATACCAACAATATTTGTACAAAACAGAGCAGTGCGCTTGCTACTCTTGGATACAACTTCGCGTTCCCCGCTTACGCTCGCGTCATGAAACAACGTGACTGGCCTAAAGGGAAGACGCAACGCGCGTTGCGCTTCCTTCTAATGCGGCAGTCACCGGGCGTTCAATGACTGACAGGCCACGAGTAAGGGACTTCAGCCCAAGTTTGGCGTACAATCAGTTGCGTTCTTCTGGCTGTCACACCGCATTCTTTGGTTCTGCTCTCACAGGGAGCTACCACAGGCATCTATGACCATAAGGCCATATCTCATCATTAATTAGTCATCAGCCATGCACTTTGGTCGTCCGGACGGACATGTATTGTATACGGCAATGTTGATGCATTTAGGAAAAACGGCGCCTAAATTTAGCCGTCCAACGCGAACAGCCATTGTATAAGCTCTTCGCAAAGTAAGCACTAAATAAACTATTTCTGTAAGAAGCCGTTTTACTTGCGCGTTATACCGGTTTCAAAGACGACGATATCAACCATGTTTTTAAATGTGAAACTTAATAAGCGAATTTCAATGAATTTGAGCGCATCCATCCACCAACCAACCCACCCACCCATCCAGCCGCCTACGACTTTTAGCTCTCCTCGTCGTTTCAATATTGATATCAATACCATAATTGGTGGGGCATAACATGACTGTATGACAAGCATAACTAACTAGTCATAACATTAAAGTCATGACATGGCATAATGTCAGGATTTAGATTTCATAGTCATGCTGCTTTGGGGTGGTTTGGTTCACATGACACATCGCAAAACTGGTATGTTATGACATGACTGCATGGCGAACATAAGTGAAAGACGCAAACGTGGAAATAATGACATGCATGTCACTGTAAGTCACAACTACACGCCATGGTCATGGTGCGCTCACGATTGTTTCGTTAGCTTCACATATACCAAGTTTGGTATTATGGGACGTGAATGGATGACGAAGGTATACGACTAGTAGGAACATGATAATCATGACATGCGCGTCATGTAGAAACATGACTACATGCCATGCTCATGACGCGCTCGAGATCGTTTCGCTGGCTTCACATATACCACATTTGGTACTACATGACGTGAATAGATGACGAAAATATGTGACTTATTCAAACTTGTTATCACAGGCGTGTCATGTAAGAACATTCCCTACATGCCATGCTCGTGATGCGCTCGTGGTCATTTCGCTGGATTCACATATACCCGATTTAGTATTACGTGACGTGAATAGATGGCGAATGTATGTGACTAGTGCAAATATGACAACCATGACATTCGTGTCTTGTAAGAAAATGACTACATGCCACGTTCATAATTAGCTCACGGTCGTTTTGTTTCGCTAGCTTTGCATATACCAAGCTTGATATCACGTGACGTGTATAGACGACGAAAGTCCAAACATGATAATCATGACATGGAAGTCATGTACGGCATAATTTACGTCCTCCTCCTAACAATATGTTGATTTTAAAGGGACATAACAAATTTCCTCATTTGTGTTTCGCATATCATCAAATCCCACTGTACGTGGGATCTGCCAATTTTTTCTGTGTCCTTGTTTGTGTGCTTTGTAGTGTTTTTTCTTATGCAATAACCCCTCAAGAAATTCTCGTTATGGGGTCTGCAGTGGTCATTATTAGCACCGAAGATGCTTACTTGCGCACCTTTTCTTTCGAACATTCAAATACATACAAGATTATTTTTCTGTTATTTTTGGCGGCTGGTCGGTAGCTTTGTGCCTCTCGCATTTCTGTTTTCTGCCTGGCTGCTTGCATGGTTAGTAATCAGGATAATATGGGCTGATCATATGGGCTGATCATATGGGCTGGCAATGCACTACTAACCACTTGGTCAGCCTGAAAACGTTTTAAGCAAAGCATCTGACCATGTTTTACATAGAGTTCCCTTCTTTTTGCGCTACAGACAACGGTTAGATAAAAACGTGGACCAACCATCAGCTACGCCTTCAACGGCAGTACACAATAGAATAATTTGGTCCCGTGCGCACCGCTTTTGCAATGGCTAGCCTGGTTTCTGTTCTCAATGGATGCTTCAACTCAGCTTCAAAGAAAAAAAATGGCCGCAGCAAACTTTCTAATAAGGGTAACTGCAAGTACAGTTGCGAAATGCCCACTAGGTAATAGAATGATTTCACTAGACTATCTGCGCATGCGCACGTTTCTGAAAGTGGCACTGTCACCGTTTTTGCAGTTCTGTGAGCTCTGCTGGTGTGGCTGCTTGCTTCGTGCTTTTCAGGCAGCGAAATTCAAGTGGTGTTTTTCACTCGGTGCAAAAAACGATACCGTACCTTCAGTATCGTCCGTGCCTTCAAGGTATGGTATTTTATTGCACGTTAAACTGCCTCCTAGCTCTGAAATGGGAAAAAAGCAGTCGATTCAACTCCCGTGTGCCCAGGTCATCTTGTCATGCTTATCAATAAGCTCTTGTGTTGCGGGGCTAAATAATAACAGTAACAAAAACAACGCCTTCCCGTAGTCATGAGAGCAAAAAAAAATGGCAGCATATCTACGGAGTGAATGATGGAGAGTGGGGCGAAGCATTCGTGCGTTCATTCGTTCTTGCTTCCGTCCATCCATGCGTCCATCTGTGTGACCGTCCATGCGTCCATCTGCCTGTCCGTGCGTGTGTCTGTTCATGCGTCCGTCCCTGAGTTCATCCATGCATCCGCCCCTGCGTCCGTTCATGCGTCCGTCCATGCATCTGTCTGTTGTGCGTTCGTCCATCTATTCAACACTCCAAGTACCACCATCTCGCATCTTTTCATCATGTATTCCCCATATGGAAGCACCGCCATCCAGCGGACATTCCAAGGACTAAACGAGAGGTGGCACACGCACACTTTCTTACGGCTTGCGCTTCAGGTGTACTTCCCACTTTAAACCACCTCGAGTTCATGGTATATACTAGTTCACGGTATTCATGGCCCTGCGGCCCAACGCTCGCTAAATGTTTCTTAAACCAAGAAGGTTACGCCCAGCGAGTATAACGTAGCAACCTTTTCCTGTCAGATAGACCTCAATGTACATGGCGATGGCTGCTAATGGCAAGTGAGAGACAGGAGAATTCGGCTTTTAGTTAACGCGCACGCCACGAACTTTTTATTGTTCAACAAAGTACAGGAGAAATCTCCCACCGGCACCACCTTGCAGGTCAAAATGTATTACTTGTTACACGCTACGACTACGAGGGACGAACGGGTGCCGCTTTAAGGAGCTTCGCCCCTAAAATGCTCAGTGAACGTCAGCACGCAAGCGAAGGAACTTTCAGTATTCGGTCATTCCAGCGACGTAGGCGGCGCCATGTAGGCGTGCCCCGAAGCTGTCGCATGGTGATAAAACTGCAACGCTGTTCAGGACACTCGGTATTCATAAACCAATGAACGCGTCTTCACGCTCTGTGCTGACGTAAACGCTCGCGACATCACCATCTCGTGCGCCTATTTTGACCTTCCGCTGCGCCGCCTATAGTCGCTGGAATGATCCAATCCCGGAAAAATCTCACCCAAACCGCGTAGAGCTCTCCACGATTACAGAAACGACGGAGAATAGCCGCACAGTTCAAAAATAAAAGAGAAAGCTATGGGTTTTCTTTTTTGTTCTTGAGAAAAGATTTCATATAAAGCTACACTTTTTCTTTTTTTTACCTGAGCGCTCGAGCGCCGGCCCCAGTCGATGAGCAACGTTTAACGTAGGTCAGCTTGAGGGATTGATATGTGTGGTTTAACGTCCGAAAACCAGTATATGAATATAAGAGACACCGTACTGGAGGACTCCAGAAATTTCTACCACCTGGGGTTCTTTAACGTGCACCCAAATCTGTGCACGCATGCCTACAACATTTCCACCTCCATCGGAAATGCAACCGCCGCAGCCGGAATTCGAGCTCACGAGCTGCGGGTCAGCAACCGAGTACCTTTGCCACTAGACCACCGCGGTGGGGCAACGCACTGCAATGAGGCGGTGGCAAGTCACGTTCAAGTCAAGAAGGTGGGGACTGCGGTCACTAGGGGCGAGGATAAGCGCGGGTGCCCGCAACTGTTGCTGACAGCTGGCGACGCCGAAGCTCTACATGGGGGGGCTTCCGTGTCTAGGGACGCGCGCGCGCTTACTCACCGGGAATCGCCCGACTCGCCTAATCTGCAGCCAGCTGCGGAACCCGATTTCAATCTGGCTATCACCTTGAGAAAATTCCCCTCTCTTTATTAATTTTCTCACGGTATCCATCCCCACTCTTTGTACAGCCCTTACCAAGGAGGAGGAGCGCTAGCTTCACCGCCTCTTCAATATTGTAGCGTGCCCGGAAGTACTGAAGTATTTAAATTCAGCCTACTCATGTGCATCCCTGCGTAGGGCG